TGCTATGATTGTATTGTTGTCGATTTCTTCTTTGGAGTCCTCCAAAAGATTTTTAATATATTTTGGAGCTCCTATATTGGGTGAATATATGTTTACCAAGGTTATATCTTCCTATTGAATAGATCCTTTCAATATTATGTAGTGACCTTCCTTGTCTCTAGTGATGGCCTTCATTTTGAAATCTATTTTATCAGATATGAGTATTGCTACCCCAGCTTTTTTTACCTTCCCATTTGCTTGGAAGATTTTTTTCCATCCCTTCACTTTCAACCTATGTGAGTCTTTTGCGTGAGATGTGTCTCTTGTAAACAACATATATATGAGTCATATATATATGACTACTGCTTTCTTATATAATCAGCTACTCTGTGTCTTTTTATCAGAGCATTCAATTCATTTACATTTAAGGTGATTATTAATGTGGACTTATTTATTGCCATTTTTGTTTAATGTGGTTATATTTTTCTTTCTATTTCTTCTACTAATTACAGCAGTCTTTTTAACATTTCTTGCAGTGCTTGTTTGGTGCTAATGTATTCCCTAAGCCTTTTTTTTGTCTGGGAAGCTCTGTATTTGACCTTCTATTTTGAATGATAGCCTTGCTGGGTAGAGCAGTCTTAGATTCAGATCCTTGTTTTTCATGACCTTGATTACTTCATGCCATTCCCTTCTGGCCTGTATTGTTTCTGTTGGGAAGTCAACTGAGAGCCTTATGGGGTTTCCTTTGTAGGTAACCTGTTGCTTATTCTTGCTGCCTTTAGAATTCTCTCTTAATCTTTAATTTTTGACATTTTAATTATTATGTGTCTTGGTGTGGGCCTGTTTGTGTTCTTCTCACTTGGGGCTCTTTGTGCTTCTTGAACTTAAATGCTTTCTTCCTTCACCAAATTAGGGACATTTTCCGTCATTATTTGTTCAAATATATTCTCTAACCCTTGCTCATTTTCTTCTTCTTCGGGGACTCCTATGATGTGAATATTATTACATTTTCAGTTGTCCCACTGTTCTCTTAAGCTGTCCTTCCAATGTGTTTTTATTTCTGCTATGTCATTCTTAATTTCTTCTTGATGGTTTTTCATTTGCAATTGGTTGATTTTCAGTGTGTCTATATCTTTACTCATGGTGTTGATGTCCTTACTCATGGTGTTGTGCTTTCTCAAGATCATGGCTCTGAACTCTACCTCTGATAATTTGCTTAACTACATTTCATATATCTCATCTTTGGTAGAGGTCTCTTGTTCTTTCATTTGGGATTTGTTTCTTTCTCTCACCATTTTGGCTATCTCAGTGGGCTTTGGACCCTGCCAAATTTTTCCTGTGGGTGTTGGTGTTCTGCTGTTTGTGGCTCCCTCTACAGGGTTTAGATGAGCAAGGGAAGACCCACGTTAAACATCACTGTCAAGTCTTACTTTCCTGGGTAGAGTTGTAAGCCCAAGAAAGGATCAGTTATCCTCTAGCTTTTTGCCTGGAGGCTATTAGTTGCAGCTACTTGAAGAGCCTTGGATTCCCAGTTGACTGAAAAAGTCCCTCAGGTGTTCCGGGTAAGAGGATTTCTCAAGGGTGGGGCACATGCTGGTTGTTAATGAATCTCAATTTGCATTTCAATGGCCTACCTGAGTGGGGTTGATTCTCCGAGGGAGGGGCCGCTGCCTCTCCCCAGAGTCCCGGGAGGAGAAAGATGGCCACCATCTTGTATGGTTACAACTCAGCAAAACTTCTGATTGCCCTCAAAATCTCGAGTGTCCTCACACAGTTCCAGTCCAGTCTGCCCTCCCTTTGCTGGAGCCCAAGGTGAATGGCTGTGGCTATTTTAACACTCTGTCCCAGCTCTCTGTGCTGTGGAGCAGGCTTGGGAGTTTAACCCCAAGTGCACTGCTCACAGATAAGACCACTGCTGTCCATGGGCTCCCAGCCCCCCTCTCACACCTCCGCAATCCTACCAGGATCCATTCAGTGTCCCTGGTTATATGATCCTCACAAGCTGCTTTTCTGTTGCTTTTTCCCAGTGATTTGTCTTTATTTTAGTTGTAATTCCAGTTTGGTCCTGGGAGATGATCTGTGTAGCTTCCATACACTCTACCAACATTTTGGAATCTCTGAATTATACACTTTATTTTATTTTATTTTAATTTATTTATTTATTTTTGTTGCAGATGTTTCTCCTTTTCCCCCCTTGATTCCCCTCCCCTTGAATTATACACTTTAAAAAGGCCACAGTTTGCTCACCAGGTGTTGTTGCAGTGTTACAGTAGGATCGTGAAAGAGGATGAACAGATCAGATGCAGTAATTAAACTAAGAATTAGCAGAGGACTCAGCACTCCCTCGATTCTGAGCCCTGCCAGAGCCAGTATTCTGCAACATACTTACTGAGCAAAGTTACAATGCAAGCATTCAAGCAAGCATGCAAGAAATCATTAAAGACATTAAAAATATTTCCAATAACAATCCCTCCAGGACATTCTGTTCTATTCATAACTCAACCATATTATATAAAGAAAAGCAGTTCCTTGGGCCAGGAAACATCTCCTGTTCTTGGTAGTTTGCCTCCAAGAAGTCTGTGTGCTTGTTTGCAAGCTCCAGCAGATCCAGGTGTCTGGCCCGCCTTTTCCAAAGAACTCCTCCACTCTCTGTTCTCGTTTACCCAGAGTTACCCGACTCAGTTCAAACCAGGTTCTGTTCTGAATTCACCATGCGGTGTGGCTCAGTGAATTGGGCGTCATCCCATGGACTGAGAGGTCCTGGTTCAATCCCTAATCAGGGCACATGCCCGGGTTTGGGGCTTGAGCCCCAGTAGGGGTCGTGCAGGAGGCAGCTGATTGATGTATCTCTCTCACATTGATGTTTCTATCTCTCCCTAAAAAATTAATAAAAATAAATAATTACACCAAATTTGTGTTATATAGATTTTACCACAGTTAAACTAAAGTAAAATAATTTCTTTTCCCTAATGATGTGACACTAATTATTATTTTCCTAAACTCCTAACACAAGATTGCATAATGCCTATAAATATAAAAACTTGTGTCTGTGTCAACAGCATGTTTTCACACACACACACACACATACACACACACATTTTCATATACCCAAACAGAAACCATGGCCCAATATTGATATGTTTTATTCATAGTACATGTACATTTTAAGGCTAAGACCTTTTATTTTGTATTAAATTTATTTGGCTGACATTGTTGAATAACATTATACAAGTTTCAAGAGTACAATTTTATAATACACCATCTATGTATTGCATTGTGTGCTCACTACCCAGAGTCTAGTCTCTTTCCATCAAAGACCATTTGAATTTCTCATAACTAGGGTCTGAATTATCCCCACTTAGTGTATAGTTCTACATTTGGCTACTAAAAAGAGTGTTTGTTTATCCTTTGAAAATTTTTTTCTTTTTTTTTTTTGGTATGTGCCCCTAGCGGGAACCAAACCCTAGACTCTTCTGGTCCACAGGCCAATGCTCCAACTGCTGAGACAAATTTTTTCTGAGAACCTCACTCAATTATTCTTATTTCTTAATTTCTGATTTTTTAAAATGTGTTTTCATCCACAAACAAGATTGCATAGCTTTTTGCCCAGTCGATGTGGCTCAGTGGATTGAGCATCGTCCCATGGACTGAGAGGTCCTGTTCTTTTCCTGGTGAGGGTACATGCTTGGGTTTGGGGCTCAATCCCCAGTAGAGGGCATGCAGGACACAGCTGATCAATGTTTCTCTCTCACATGGATGTTTCTACCTTTCTCCCTTCTTCTCTCTAAAAAAATCAATGAAAACATTTTTTTTTTAAAGTTTCCATAGCTTTTTATAAAATATATCTATAAGCAAGGTCACTACATGCCAGTTCAGCCTTAGCAATTGGTAAGATATTGAAATACTTCTGCACACCCTGTTCAGCTGCAGGACAGCAGCCCTCAATGCTCCATCACAGCCTGGTTTTCCTGACCCCCTCCTAAGGCTACTCACCCTGCACCTCCCATGACACAGAATTAATGCTGGTGTGGCAGGGAACCGCCAGGACCCCCTTCCAGCCTACAGATGTATCTGATGATCTGATATACCCATTGCTACAACACTTGCTAAATATTTTGAATATCACCTCTGCTTGAATCTGTTTTATGTATTAGCATAACAGATCCTTTATAGAATTAAGTTACTCTGTCAAAACAATTTAGTAATAAACACCTACTTTATGAACAAGTTCTAATTATACTTATAATGATAATTCAATCAGAAGAGGCTAAGTTGTGCTGTATAACAAATGAGCCCGGTATCTCAGTAGCTTACAGCTACCAAGACTTATTTCTTCCTACATTTCCACTGCAAGGCAACTGAGCTGTAATCCATGTCATCTTTATCCCAAGCCCCAAGTTGACAGAAGCAGTCTCTTTCTGGAACATAGTCTTACAGCAGAGGGAAGAGAGAAATAGAGAACCACAAGCTGGATTTTGAAGTTTCTGCTTGGAAGAAACACACATCCCTTCTGCCCACAATGTACTTGCCAAGCCTGACATACATGAGCAAGGAAGTAGAATCCTTCCTCTGGAAATTGAGGGGAATATTTTTGAAAGATGATGGAATCTGGCCCAAGATAACAAGAGAATTTGAATATACTACCTAAACCCCCTGGAGGTAGAACTGAGTACAGGCTATATGTTTAAGGGTATAAAGGGTCACCTTCTCAGTATTAAAAAAACAACAACAACAGTGACACATTTTGCCTTTTTTTTACTTTATTGATTTTAAGAGAGAGGAAAGGAGAGGTAGAGAGAGAAAGACATCAATGAGAGAGGACATCAATTAGCCGCCTCCTACATGCCCCCCACTGGGGATTGGAACCACAATCCAGGCATGTGCCTTGACCAGGAATTGAACCGGTGACCTCTTGGTGCATGGGTCAATGCTGAACCACTGAGCCACACTGGCCGGCCCAGTAACACATTTTGTAATGAGGTCTGAATCTTGGGCTTTCTTTCTTTCTGTGTGCTCAACAGCTGCACCCACTGGGCTGCAACATGTTTAGTGTTTCCAGTGACGAGTATGGGATGATTCCAGACGCCCTCAAAGAAATACTTTCCAGATGGAAACCTGAAGATTCAAAGAACCCCGAGAAAAACACCCCCAAATTTCTCTATACTGTCCCCAGTGGCAACAACCCTGCCGGAACCTCATTAACAAGTGACTGCAAAAAGGAAATCTGTGAGGTATTTTAAAAAGATATGTTGTGTGATTATTTTCTTGTTTCTTTTTTACTTTTTTGAAAAGTACTATGCAAGTTTCCTTTCGTATTAGCCTCTTGCTTTCAAAGAACATAATTTTTAATATGAGGAAGTCATCTGTGCCAAGGGTCGTAATAAATGGAAACATAAGAGGTGACTACATCCTTTGTTTACTATAAGGTTTTTCTCTGCCTTTAGTTGATAGTTCCATAAAAAAAGAAATAGCATTATTGGCCTGATGTTAAATTTTATGAAATTATTTAATACTTGACCTCAACATTTGATTTTTATATTTTTATATTTGTATGTTCAACTTGTCTCTTAGTTATTGGTTCTCATTTCAATTTACAAAGAAATTCTTTGAAAATAAGAGGCATGTTCCTTCGTAAAGTCTATTTTAGGAACCCAAAAATGATGCCTAAGCTTTTCACCATAAACACTTCTTAAAAGTATCCAACAAATGTGGACCTGTACAGGAATCTTTAAAAAAATAATAGAATGTGCTCTTTTTGTAAAGTCTTTTTTATGGACCTAACTGTGATTCCCTAGCCTTTCACTACAAATAGTTTTTCAAAATAAGTACCAAGCCTATGTTAAAATAATATAGAATGTAATCATTGCAGTGGAATTATAAGATTTCAAACAGTTTCTTTTAACACACACACACACACACACACACAATCAAAATATTTTCGGCTCTATCCTGAGTTTCTCTTACTTACACACTCTTCCTAGACACTGTCATCCAGTTCTATGCCTGTAAGTTGTATTCTATAAAGGAAATACCAGAACTCCCGACTTCTCTATCCAACTTCTGTATCCAACATCCCACATCCCACATGCATGTGTAACAGGCATTTCACAGCTAACATGGCTACACAGAACTCTTGGTTTTCTCCAACCACACCCCAGAACTCTCATCCACAACCCTTCACATTCTTCATCTCCATACACTGTGCCAGCATGACCCATCACCTCCTCTTCCTCTCTCCTCGCCCACACACCACATCCAGTCCATTCTAGGGGCTTGACCGACAAATGTATCCAAATCCATCCATTTCCCTCCACTTCCACTGCCATCACCATCTGCTCAGACACCACCTTCTTCCCCCGCTGGTCTAGTAGGACGTTCCTCACTGGACCCCTTGCTGCCCTCCACTCTGGACCTCTCACCATTCTTCACACAGCAGCCGCTCCTGCCCTTCCCCTGCTGGAACGAATGTGACGATAGTCTCATGGTCCTCATGTCCACAGTCCTCCAGCAGCTTCCCCTGGCCGTTAAAATAAAATCCAAGAGCTAGGTGACCTGGTCAGCTGTTCTTGAGCTCTTATCATTGTTGTTGCAGCCCACTGGCCTTCTCTCTAACCCTTAAATATGCCAGCTTTCTGTATCACCCATGAGCCTCTGCTCTTGCTCATCCTTCAGTCTAGAAGCGTCTTCCCTGATTTTGCACAACCGCCTCTTTCCTGTCATTCTGAGACTTGGCGTTACCTTGTCAGGAAGGGCTTCCCAGTGAAGTAGCTACTCTGCTTCTCTCTCTCTCTCTCTCTCTCTCTCTCTCTCTCTCTCTCCTCTCCCCCCTCTCCCTGTCTCAACCATCACCCTGTTCAGTGTTCTCCCTAGCCCCAAGTCCCTCATCCAATATTTCTTCTGTTCGTTATCCATTGGCTTGTGTGCATTCCGTCTTTCCACTGGAATGTAAGTTCCATGAGAACCAGAGCCTTTAGAGCCCATCTCTTCATCTTCATTTCCTAGACAACCAGCACTCAAGGGCTTCTTGAATGAATGAGCACAAAGAATTATGACTCCAAATGCTTTTCATATTAGATAGTTCTTAAGAATTAAATATACTGTTTTATCCTCTTTCAGCTCGCAAGGAAATACGATTTTCTCATAATAGAAGATGATCCTTACTATTTTCTTCAGTACAACAAGGTAAGTAACGGTGCGAACTTATGTCACCATTAGAAGATCAATTGTTGTAAGTTATGCCCCTGCATTTGATTTTAGCCTGGCTGCGAATCCACTTTTACATTGGAATTTTAAAAAAATGATTGTTAATATGCTACCACTTTAACTTTTAGTCTTTTAGTTTTATTATGGAATTAGTGCTTTTTATTTCTGGTATTACAGCTCTTTGCAGAAATTACATACCTTAAAAATAGTAGCTTGCTGTCTGTGCAATACATTTGGTCAAACAGAGAAAGTCTGGGCTAATGGTCTTGAACTTCAGATCCTAGTGCATATAGCTCCTTAATCATGGTCCCAGGGGTCTAAACGGGCTTCCTCTTGGGTGTGAGCTACTGTCTCTTGGCAGCGGCAGACTGGCATGATGTCTGAGAAGGACTGGAAGGATTGCAAAGCTGTGTTCAGCTGAAAGAGGAGGGCTGTGCTCAGTGAGTGATGTCCATTAGGACATAGGTAAGGCGTTATTGGCCGCCAGACACACATGGGCTCCCTGAGGTGAAGGTCCTGGATTGCACCTGTAGAAGAATGGGATTTGGGAATCCTTCTGACCATATACGTGTGCCACTTTTCACAGTCACCTTTTACTGATGGAGAGTAATAGTGATACATGCTCCCCATGCCTGAGTTTTCAAAGCTAACACTATCTTTATTTGCTCTCAGGACTGCAGAGAACACATACTTCGGTATGGTTCCTCCTTGAAATCTACAGGAAAGAAAAACTCTTGATTTTTCCATCTGTATTGTCTGAATGACTATCATGTCTGCCTACCTGCATCCCACTCTCAAAATGCATCTACTTCCTATGTAAATACTGAAGTCAGTGTTTCGTGTTGACTACATTTCTCTCCTTCGGTCTCATCTTTGTATCTTTCCAGTTCTGAGAGCCAGTCAGCTTCTCTCTGTAGACAGTCCTCAAGGTTGCTGATCCCCTGTGCTTATACCTTATCCAAACTTGTTTTTCTTTCTTTCTTTTTTTATTTAAAAGCATTTTATTCAACAATCATGCCAGCCGGGACTCAGGGGACCTTACAGGGTTTCAGAACTGGGTTCTCAGCAAGGCTCATATTTTTCCCCTCTAAATCTGTTCAGCTTGGACTTCAACCCTTGGGGAAGGTGGGGCCTCAATTCATCTTGAGTAAATGAGTAAATCCTTCAGTGTGTGTCTTGGCAGAAAAATCATGAAGACAGGCAGATACTAATAAAAGGACATGCAGCTCTGCTTTTATTCCATTTTAAAAGGTTGACATAAAGGAAAAAGATGGTTGTGTTACTGTTATCCGAATCCATGCCCTTTCCCCTCTCAACACAAAGTGATCACAGGATCCCTAACAGAGTTCTCAAACCAACGGTGTTTATCTTTTCCATGTCAAGCCCTGGGCACCGACATTTCTTTCCATGGACACTGATGGCCGTGTTATCAGAGCTGACTCTTTTTCAAAAATCCTGTCCTCTGGGTAAGACCCTGCGTCTCTAACTTAAGGCTGGATCTAGCCGAGACAGAAATTATGCCTGGCGTTATTTTGTCAGAAGCTTTTAGTCCAAGCAAGTCTTCTCATTTAAGATGCTTGTATTCTACTTGCCTTAAAATACCAGTTAAAGAATTAATAGGAATATAAGCCTTTTCTCTCTGTCCATCTCTTGTCATCAAAGGAACCTGGGCATTGATTTAAAGTTGTCGGAGAACTGGTCAGGTTTTTGGTTTCATATATGAAAGAGCACATTTGAAAACACTTGGTCAGACTTGCATTAAATTTGAATTTTAAATAAGTAGTTAGTTATATTAGACTGTTTTTAATTGTCTGGGTCCATTTGCCCCCTGGTCACAACTCTCTTCCTAATGAAATCAGGAAACTGACATGTATTCGTTGTTAATACAGAATGGTATTGTGCCTTTTCTCTTTTCTGTGTAGGTTGAGAATAGGGTTTATAACTTGTCCAAAACCTTTGATAGAGAGAGTTGTTTTACACACACAAGTCTCAACATTGCACCCCAGCACTTTTACACAGGTAAGGACAACTTAGGAAATAGAAAAAGAAATTTAATTTGATAAGAATAGAAAATAGACATTGACAAATAAGATTGAGTTAAGGGGGCAGGGAGGGAAATCACCGATATGGAATCTCTAGTTCCAGTATGTACTGAATCAGCAAACCGGGCACCGCAGGCGTTTACTCCATTGGACACATGAGACTCGAATTAGCCTGCTGTTATTTTGTGGCATAGACTAACCTCCTTCAGAGTCAGGTTGTCTTATTCCTCTGGTGTCCCTAGCATCTAGCCCAGAAACTCCATTAAAAGTGTTGAATTGAACATAATGGAACCGGCCTGGATGAAGTCATGTACCTTGGGCTTCTCTGTCTTAAAGTCTGTAAGGAGAACAGTTGGGAACCTGCTCAGTGACTCATCACCTTCACTGGACATGTACTGACCTCTCTGTCCTGAAGATACTGGTTGGTGTGTACTTAAATGAAAATAAGGTTCATTTTAGAGAACGCATAAATTTCCTCACAAGCTTTGAGAAATTATTGGATCCATCTCTAATGCAACCATGAGAATTAGATCTTAAGGATAGATTTCCTACCTAAGAACTCAAAATATATAGAAACGTTTATATCATATAGGCCCTTTGTTTGATATTTTACATTCCAGAAAGTGCTTTATCAAGTTTGGGGACTTTTTGTATTAAGTTAAGGGACTTTTTTCTTTTCTTTTCTCTTCTTTTCTTTTTTTGTATCTGTTATCAACCTGACTTCACTATCCATTTATGACATTTAGAACTTCCATTTTAGATGGAAAAATCTCCAAGTATATTATATAATTTTATATACTACAACTACTTTATGTTTTTTATATTTCGAGAGGAAGTGCAGTGTGGTATTAAGGAGTGGGGCTGGGCTGGGGCTGGACAGTCTGACTCGACTCCAGGCTCTGTGACTAGCTGTGTGACCTCAGGAAAGTTAACAACCCTTGTGCCTCATTTTCCTCCTCAGTAAAATAGAAATAATAACCTGCTTAATAATGTTATTACTAGATTAAATTAGCTAAAATATATTAATATATTACAATAGTTTCTGGCACATGACAAGTACTATGTAAGTATTTGTCATTTTTATTATCATTGTCATTGTTATTAATTAACATTTATTCCAAATCACCGACTGTATAAACCTTGGTTCAGCTTGTTATATTTTCTTATGGTGGTTTGCATGTACTCAAGATTGATTGGCAAGAAAACACATTTTAGAGGATGAACCGTGACTGATGTTATTGTCGTACCTCTTTTAGCTAATGGTATTGCAGCTTCTTCACCACTGGGGAGAAGAGGGCTTCCTGGCTCACGTAGAGAGGTATCGTATTTCAGGTCCCATTTTTTACATGGAAATGACTCTGCTTTATAATGTTTGATTTTTAATTATTCCATAGCAAAGGAAGAAACATAGCGCTAAAAAGTTTACCACCAGACAAGTCAAATAAATAGACTCTTATTCCCTTATCAAGCATTCATTTTAATCAAGATGGAAAACAGATTCATACAGATCCTCTGAGTTTCTGCAGCCAGTGTACTAAACACATCATTTTCATGTGTCCTTCTTCTAGGGTTATTGATTACTATAGGAAGCAGAAGGATGCATTACTGGCAGCTGCAGACAAGTGGTTAAGTGGTGAGTGGAATTATATCTCGTCCTGTGATAAACAGCAGCACCTCCGTGAGTGGGTGATAAACACTGCACAGTATTCTTAGCAATCCTGGGGGGCAGGGGGAACAAGAGTCCAGGACTCTTCTTGTCAAGAAAATATCCTATAAATAAATAATCTCAGAAGTAACAGTGTGCATACCCTGACACATTTCTACCCGTCTGCTGCAAAGAATGTGTGGTTAAAACAAAACAGACTAATTAGTCTAATAATTAACCAGCAATAAGTTACTTAAAGCTCAATAACATCTATACTCAAAAGTGTTTGGAGTTGCCCTGGCCGGTTTGGCTCAGAGGTTAGAGTTTCGGCCTGCGGTTCAGAGAGACCAGGGTTCAGTTCCCGCTAAGGGCACGTACCTCGGTTGCAGTTTGTCCCCGGCCCTGGTTGGGTTGTGCGGGTGGTAACCACTGGATGTGTCCCTTTCACATAGATGTCTCTCTCTCTCTCTCTCTCTCTCTCTCTCTCTCTCTCTCTCTCTCTCTCCCCCTCCCCCTCCACTCTATCTGAACAAAAAATGGGGAAAAAAATGTCCTCAGTGAGGATAAAAAAAAGTGTTTAGAGTTATTTCAAAGTTTTCCTCTAAGTAGAAAAAGAATTATGAAACAAACAACATACTCTTTTTCAACTAGATTATATAAAGACAAAATACTACTACAATCTACAGAGGACTTCTCATTACAAATGATTTGCCTTTTAATCACTAATCTCATTTATCTGTCTAATAATATACACTGTTAATTTGATTGCAGGATGATTTAGGTTTAATTTTCTGTTAAAAGTAAGAAAATAAAGTGAATACATGGCTTTAACTACATCATTAAATATGCCTTTGGTAGGAATAATAGTCAGCAAAAAATATAAAGTCCTTAATTATGTCACACCTTGTTTCCCATGAAGTCTCGGTAAACATAGAATCATCTTTTTGATACAGAGAGCTATTCTACCATTTTGTACAGCAGAGTTGAGGAATGGGCTTTAATCTACAGCAAGGTTTTTTAGAATATACTAATTAAAATCAAAATAATTATCCTTCCTTCTTGGTTTCTGTATCCTAATACTCGATGAAGCATAAAGCCTCCAAATGCACCTGGAATTCCTGATTTTAAGTACTTCTTTTCATGATTAATTACATTCTGATAAAACCATTAATCCAGTGGACTTCTGACTATTACATAAATGACTGGATTTATGGAAACAATGGAAGAGTCTAGGAAGAGTTGAAGAAACTTCTTCTAAAATGGAGCATATATGGCTCCGGTATGGTTCTAACTAAAGGAAGTGGACATAGGCACTAGATTTCTTGCAGCGCCCCAAGACTGACTAAAATTATAAATATGCACACACGACCCTCCCTCCCTTACCCCTCTCTCACTCCGCCCCCTTTTTTAAAATGTTTTATTGATTTGAGAGAGAGAGAGAGATTTGTTATTTCTCTTATTTATGCATTCATTGATTGATTCTTGTACGTGCCCTGACTAGGGATTGAACCCGCAACTCTGGAGCATCTGGATGGCACTCTAATTAACAGAGCTACCTGATCAGGGTTCACTCACTTTTTGAAATAAAACTCAGAACATCAATTTTCAGGACTCATAAAATTGTATATATATTTTTAAATGCTTTCACTGAAGGAACTTGTATGGGAATCCTAGTTTACAATTACTACAGTTATGCCATTAAATGTTATACATGATAGCAAATAAAGCTTCAGGAGATTTATTCCCTCCTTTTACTTATAGGTTTGGCAGAATGGCACGCTCCTACTGCTGGAATGTTTGTATGGATCAAAATTAAAGGCATTTCTGATGTAAAAAAACTGATTGAAGAAAAAGCCATTAAGAAAGAGGTAAAAAGGCAGAAAAAGTTATATTTTTCTTTAACAGAATTTCTTACTTAAATAAAAATGGAGAAAAATGTTTGTCATTGCTCACCACCCCAACTCCTAATGTTTTAATATCAGATGTTATCTCATTAAAATCATAATAGATTTTTGGGTAAAAATAAATTATTCTTCTGTTCTAAATTAATGGAAATATACTCATTCATCTTTGCTACTGGTTGGTTTAGTGGCTGACAACACAGTCCCTGGAGCCACACTCCTTGGGTTCGAATCCCAGCTCCACCCTTGACTGGATGTGTGGCTTTGGGCAAGTTACCCTCCCTGAGTTTTATCTGTAAAATAGTAGTAATGAGACTTTCTCTCTCCTAAGGTTGTTATGATTATTAAGTTAATATGTATAAAGCACTTAGACTAGTAAATGCTCAATAGGTATTAGCCATTAGTATGTAAAATAGATGGTGTCCCCCACCCCCAATTTTGAACGTAAAGCATACTCATGGTAGCAAACTTAGAAAATGAGCAAAAAATAACAAAAAATATTTAAATAGCCCATAATTTCATCACCCAGATTTTTAAATCATTTTTGGTGTATTTCCTTGAAGAGCTTGTAAATAGCTGGTATTTTGGCTGTGCAATTATTTTACATGGTGAAAATTACACAGAAAAGTTTCTGTCCTGCTGTTTTTACTTCAAATTAGCCCATGATGATTTCTTCTATGTTCTTTTATTTACCTTTCATACTTAAATTATAAGTCTATTTAGATTTCATTTGGGAGCATTGATTAAGCTCAGAAATCTAGATATTTTTCTTTGTAGCTTCCAGTTTACCAAATAACTTATCCTTTCGCCATTAATAAATTCCCTTATCACATTTGTTAGTCTTTCGTAAACAGTAAGATCTGTTTCTAGTATCTATTTTGTCTTGAAGCAATAGAAATGATTGTACCAAGGAACAGATTGTGTTGATGCTGGCAAAGTACCCTGCTAGTGCCTAAGACGTGAAGCCGTCTAAAGATTAGACCTGGTAACTGGCCGGGCTTTAGCCCCACTCCCTTGGAAACTCATTCATCCTCTAACCATCTTACTGGAAGGCAGGACTCATGCTTTATGAACTGTTCTAATCCTAATAACAGCACAGAGTAGTACTTAGTAAATACTTAACTGGTTAATTTCAAAGACAATTTTAATATAACCTATCAATTTTATATTTTCTTTGCTTTTCTATCAAGGCCATTATCTTTAAAATTGTTTAATATATGGCTATTTGTACGTATCTCTGAGCAACATGCTGAGGATACAGACTTCACATATTAATGTAGTTGTTTTCAGTCCTTCCATATATCCTGTTGCATGTACCTTTATTTTTTCTAAATGATCTCCACCTTCATCACCACTGCCTTAGCCCAGACATTGGTCGTCTTGCAAAGAGATTTTTACCACTCCCTCCTCCTCTTACAGCAACTTGCTTCTAGCGCATCCCAAAACTTCTCTGCTATGTTGGGAAAAATGAACTTCCGTTTTATTGTTATTAAGGTCATGAATACCTATCTTCTGCCTTGAAATCTTTTCCCCAGAGTGCCCCTCTTCATTTCACTCCCTACTCATCTTACTTCGCAGACAGTGCCCAGATTTGCACCCTGTGACAACAAGCAGTTACTTCATGCTTTTGAACATCATGATTATACTACATAACAATCTCTAAGTTTTAACACAACTGAAGCTTATTTCTGGCTCACATACAATTTCCAAATATGTGATCTTTGGGCAGCTGTGCTCCAAGCAGTGGACAGAGACCCTGGTTCCTCTGTCTTCTTGCTCTTCAGTCGTCCACACATAGGTTCCACATGGCGACACAATGGAGAGCATGGTGGGTCACAGAGGAAGAATTCTATGGGTCAGGCCCAGGAGTAGCACATATCACTTCACATCCATTGGCTAGGATTCAGTCATCTGTCCACATACAATTAGAAAGAGGCCAGGAGGCAGAGGAAATGTACTTTGTAACAGTGAGCTACCTGCCACAGAGGTCGTCAAGAATCACAGTGGTTCTCACCACTGCGTCTTGACACTTACTCAACATTGTTATTCCTTTGCTTTATATATTACATTTTTTACCTTCTTTCAGTTCTTTGAGCAGGACAATTTATTCCCAACTCGAGGCCTTCACACTCTGTATCTTCTCCCTAAAATACTCTTCCCCTACTTTTTGCTTGGCCAACATCTACCTATCTTTCAGATTCAGCTTAAAAGTCACTTCCAAATTTCATAACTTAAAAGTGGTATCTCATTGTTTGAATTTACATTACTTTTCTAGTTCCATTAAACATTCATGTTTGTTACCATTTTTAATTCCTCTGTAGGCTTCCCTTTTGACCATTAAATTCTGGTGTTGTTCTTCTCAGTTTCTGTGTATTCTTTATATGTGGAGAAGAGGTCGGATTTGATATATTTATTATAAACATTTTTCTGGTTTCTCTGCTTTTAGTTTTGTTGATTGTATGATATACAGAATTTGTATATAAATTTTTTTTTTGCTTGTGATTTGTTTAATTGCCTTTAATCTTAAAAGTCCTTCCCCATTCTGGGATTTGATTTATCTGTATTTTCTCTCTGGTTTTCTTTAATGGTATATTGCTTGTTTCCATAAACTCTCTTAGATATTAATGGTTCCTGGAAATGCTTTCTACATCGATAGCTCAGCTCCTAGCCCTTACTTTAGAGCATCCTTCTCTTTGGCTTCTCCAGAACAAATGGATACGGTAAGTACATTATTCTCTTCAGAGTAACACTAGATTCATTCTATTGTAGGGTGGGTGTGTTCATTTTGTGAGTTATAATATGCTTTAATGTCTTTTTGAGTTTCTGAAAACAGGCATTAGTGGAAAAGTCATAAACTACCATTAAAAGACATTTTACTTTGTTGCTAGACTTCTATAGACAAATGAAGAGACTGAGTTGTAGTTTATGTTTATTGTTTTCAAGAATAGTTTCCAGGCCTACTAAACAGTGTTCATTGATTACCAATATGTTATAAAGAAAATGTCTTTCCTTCCTTCTCAGGATTAATATGAGCCAAAAGTACATATTGAGGCCATCAGTCTCTCTTTCGTTGAGGAAAAAAATATCAGCAAGTCAAGGAGAATAATATTCTCAAATTAATCACAAAGACTAGCTTTAACCAAAATAGCAAGCAAAGAAACAAGTTCCTAAGAACTGTATGTCTGGGAATCCAAACAGAAGATCCATAAATTGAACCGTGCCATTAACCTTAAGATGAGTTTATATTTATCTTTGCAGATGGATTGGTCCTTTGTGTGTTCTTTTTAAAAAAATAATTTTCCTTTATTGATTTCAGAGAGAATAAGAGAGAGGGAGATAAACATAGAAACATCCATGAGAGAGAACATTGACTGGATTCCTTCTGCATGCCCCCCACTGGGGATCATGCCCACAACCTGGGCATGTGCCCTGACTGGGAATCGAACCAGTAACCTCTGGGTGCATGGGTCGACGTTCAACCACTGAGCTACACCAGCCAGGCTGTGTGTTCTCTATTTACCTGCTTTCTCACATCATTAAACATGCTTTTCATAAGTTATTTTTGTTTTTATATAATAGAGTTGGACAATTGAAACTATATAGATTATATACACAAGTGAGAGATTATATGAAAAAACAAAGTAATATGTAGGGTGGAGAAAATATAAAATGATGACCTTGAGGGTAACAACAACAGAAAAATCCTGAGAATCGAATATGCTTATATCTACATCCATGATGACATTGATGGCATCCTGCCATGAAAAAACTGATGTTAAACTTGGTTTCTCACTGCCTCATCTCACCCTTAGATGGATATTCTTTGTTTGACTTTTAAAGTTCTGACAAAGTTTTTCCAAAGAGCATCCTAATTTCATTAATTTTATCTCTTTTCTATTTTAGGCTTTCCAGAGATTAGCCCAACTTATAAAAGAATCTATATGAAGCCATCAAACTCTTCATAGTACTCATGGATTTTCTGGATAAATTACTTCTATGTTTTACCAGCAAAAAATGATCATTGGTTTAGATTTATAGATCGAGTTACATCAGACATGTCATATCTGTAGTCCTTTAAATAGACAACCTTTAAAGCGCCCTTAAGTCTACCAGATTGCCAAAATACATTTATAATCCACTTACACCTTTTGATAAATTTTCAACCTGCAAAAAATTATTTTTATTGTAAATTTTATTGTAAAGCATTCTGTAACTGCTTTATAATTTGCCATATATTTTTTGAAACTAACATTTACAGTAAATTATTTTGAAAGTAAGGAAATAATTCCAATATGGTATATAATGTAAACTTTTTCTACTTTCTCTAGGAAAATTTCATGAAATCTTGTTGCAAAAATTGTTAGAATTTGACCATTATATATTATATCAATAAGAATACCACAGATATTATTATGCCATAAAAATTGCTTTAGAATAAAATTCTGAAACTAAACATACCTAAAGGCATCAGACCTATTAATTCTAAGTAAGAAGGAGAGATGGGACTTAAAAATATTAACTATGTTGCTTTTTTTCATAATAGTACACAATTTACAAAAACACATGATGTAATCTGAATCTACTATAATCCTTTGAGATATTTTTGATATACTATTTTAATGATTTTCTTTCTCACCTTTTAAGAGGTTTATTTTTTCTATCTGATTACTAAAGTAATATATGCTTATCTTAAAATTTCAAACAAGCCAGGAAATACAGTAAAGTAAAGTAAAAGCAGCCACTTATTGTCTCACCCCCCCCCCCATGCTAATTCCTGTCAGCATTTATCATTCATCCTTTTAGATATTTTTTTATGTGTATTCATGTAACATGGAAAAGAACAGGGTCTCATTATGGTAGAGTATCCTACATACCCTGTATTCGTTTTTTTTGTTTTGGTTTGGTTTTTTAAATTTTTTCTTTTTTATCCTCACCCGAGGACATTTTTCCATTTTTTGTTCAGATAGAGTGGGAGGGAGAGAGAGGAAGAGAGAGAGAGAGAAACATCGACGTGAAATGGACACATCGAGTGGCTGCCACCTGCACAACCCAACCAGGGCCGGGGACAAACCACAACCAAGGTACACGCCCTTAGCGGGAACTGAACCTGGGTCTCTCCGGACCACAGGCCGATGCTCTAACCACTGAGCAACCTGACCAGGGCCCTGTATTCGTTTTTTAATGCGGTGTAACAAATTGTCACATTGTTCCAAGACCCAGTCATTGTAAAGTTATAAATTCCTCTAAGGAATTAGGAAATTTACATCATTGTCATTTATGCCATCCTTGCTGTATATAAACATCTGTATAGTAGTTATTATTTAACTGACGTCTGGATGAGATGTTACATCTCCCAACAGTTAAAGTTCTTGAGCAAAAATCTCACCTCAGAGCTCAAATCAGCTAGCTTGAAACCCACATTCTTTTTTCTAGAGCAACCATTGGTAGTTATTTAGGACAGATAGGAACGATGCAGAGCCTGGAGGAGAAGAAAGTGTAAATTAGAGAGATCAATAAAAGTAAGATATGTCTTCCACCTACTTTATTCAGTGGTTTTCAATAATAGCCAAAATTGCTTAGCCTGTATTATATAAACCAGTGCCTGATTTTTGTTTATAACCAACATAAAGTAGTCGATCTGTAAGTTGATTTATAACCCCCAGCTTTAACCAAAATCTATAGAATTCTGTTTCTTCCAGGAAAAACAGAGAATGAGAAAGGCAGAGAAACGAGTGATGATTAGGCTGTCCCTTCTTAGTCCGTTGAGATTACCTTCCCGGACTTTCAAGACTAGAAAACAGGAGCCTCACATGTTGTCCTTGCCATTGTAGATTTTTCCAACCTTTTAAAAACACAATTGGGCAGTATTGAGAAACATTAAAAGGTTTATATTTTTTAGCACGATGTATGAGATACTGTGGATTGACTCGGCATAACTTCTGATTTCCTTCTCGTGACTTTGAGCACTGTAAAGGTGAAATACTACATTTGCAGGCACCTTGTGGGCACATTCCAGGGGTGATTTAAATTCCTTCCTGCAGATGCCTGGATTCAGAACTGAGTTAAAAGGGGGCCCAGGCAGGATGCGAGGCTTCCGTTTGCAGGCAAAGCTAATGCAGTGTGATTTTGTAGCCAACAGCTTCTTGGTGGTTTCTGCTCCTGCAAGAATGACATTCTGGGGCTAGAAATTGTTCCTGGAATCTCCACCTACTTTTTCAGCGGTTCCAATAACTTTGGAAACCACAGAATATGTCATGATAAACGCTGTTGGCTTAAACTATCTGGAGTCATTTTCATTATCTGCAGCGGAATGCCAAGTGGGCCAGTGTGTCGGGGTCTCCAAGACCACCTTCAAGCTTGATGGTTCCCTAAAAGGATGCAGAGAATGTAGAAGTGGTATTCACAGGTACAGTTTATTACAGTGAAAGGATCTGGTAAGATCACGACGGGAAAAGGCACATGCGTCCAAGTCTGCGGGAAACCAGACACAAGCTTCCGGAGTCCCCTCCTGGTGGAGTCACACAGGACGTGCGGGAGTCCTTCAGCAATAATGTGAGACCCCATGTGCAAAGTCTTGTTATCAAGGGAAGTTCACCTGAGCCTCTGTCCAGGGTTTTTATTGGGTCAGTCACATGTACATATATCGTGCCTATATGACTAACTCAGTTACTGAAGCTCCAAACCCACAGCAGGAAAGCTGGTGCTCAACAAATACTACTGTTAGTATAAACAATCTGCAAAAACTTACAGCATGGCTCCCAGCCCCAGGCGTGCAGCACACTCTTATCTGTCAGAATATTCCAAGAGCTCAGGAGCCAGCCAAGGGCCAGTCATGAAACAGCCCTTTCTCAGGAATGTGCACGGTTTGGACAACCCAAAGCTGCTGAGTTAACACTTTCCCATCCTCCAGAAATTCCACTTCTAGACATTTATAGTAAAGAATGACCCAAAATGTGGAAGAAACTAAAAACAAAGATGGTCAATTTAATTTAAAACAGAAAATCCTGGGTGTAGTGGTCAAGATTTTATGACCAAAGGTCTTACAATAGGAAGAGTTATGTCAATTATGGTTCACCCACTTAAGTACATCTTAGGGAACCATTAAAAGATTATTATGAAGCAGTATCATGCATTTTATGAAGCATAATGTTAAAATGAATATATATATGTATATATATATATACACATATATATATATATATATATATAATATGGACTAAAAATTCAAAGTAAAAGAGTATACATATACTTTAATTACAACTATGTAAATACTAAGAAGACATCTACCTAGACAGCAACTATTGGGTAATTTTTTTCTTTATTTTCAAAATATTCTCTAACATGGCCCTTTACTTGTATAACTTAAAGATAATTATTTTAATACCTTAAGCAAACTAGTCACTCTTTTTTCAGTTGGATAAGTAGAGAGTCTCAAAGGCAATAGTAAAAAGTGTACCTGTCAGCATTAGGGGACAAGTACCATGTAATGGAAAATCAAACTGGAAGTCATATCTGTACAACCATAGTCAATTTGAACCTGGTCTAAAATGTCAGGTTTAATGTCCTCTGGTTGGGCTATGTGATCTCTTTATGGAAGCCACAGTGTCACCATTGATGGTCCAGAGTGAACTGAAGCAGCTGGAACCTCTGGACCTGGTGGTAGTCAGATGGCTATTTCAAGATGGCCTGAAATGCAACAGTTGTCACTTGACATGGTTCTCTTTGAACTTACACTTGAATATTTATTTGTTGACTTTAGTAGTTTCCTCACCTCCAAGCAAGAAAGTCTAATGTGCCCCTCTAATGCCTTTACAGCATGGTGAATCCAAGTTCCTTTACAAATGCTAACGAAATCTGCAGTGGGTGGCCATTACTAGCTTTGTCAAAAGTAAGTTTAATTAAAATGTTGGGAGAATCTAAAAATATTAAGGAAAATCAAATATTGGCTAAATGTCTCATTTTAACTGGTGATGTGTAGTTGTTAAGATTTTATGTTTCCTGAGGTCAGGAACTTCTTTCTCTGGCTAAGTTGCTTTCCTTTCCTAAGCCTGCTTTTTTAATTCATATTTTATGTCATGTACTTATTGTAAACAGTTTTTTTGTTTTGTTTTGTTTTCCTTTATTGATTTTAGACAGAGAGGAAGTGAAAGGGAGAAAGAGATAGAAATGTCGATGACAGAGAACATCAACTGGCCACCTCCTGCGTGCCCCCCACTGGGGATTTGGCCCACACCCTGGGTAAGTGTCCTCACCAGGAATTGAACTGGCAACCTCTTGGTGCATGGGTCGATGCTAAACCACTGAGCCACACTGGCCAGACCTTTTTGTAAACAGTTTTATGTCTTTTTTAACTTGCAATTGATAACTGAAATTGAACATTTAAAAACTAACCTGAGATAGGGTCATAATTTCAGTAATACTTAGTATTTAAATCGTGAAAATGCCCAGACACTAGAATAATGTGTTCATTAGAATCCTTGGAAAAGCAATCAAATTTAGAACCCAACAGAGCTCTTACTGAGTTTACATTTAAGGAAGAAACTAAGAAAATAAAAGCCTTCTCACTGCACGTCAGGAGTACTGGAACCTGATTTGAATGGGCAGACCGTTTGCTGCCCTCCAGGCTCGTGGCAGAGCAACTGTCCGCCAGCCTCAGCTCCCAGAGATTTGCCACAGGGTCTGAACCATCTCGGGAAGGAAGCAACAAAGTAGCAGGGGACCTACAATTCCCCAGACCCCTGATTACCACCCTTCCAGCAGTATAGAGCAAAAATCGAAGGACTAAGGGAGACAGGGAGGGCAGACCTGCACACACTTGACCTAGCAACTTTGGTTCCAAGAATTTATCTTAAGGAAATAATTTAAAGACTTTCGTCACAGCATATATCAGTGGAAGAATGAAACAGCCTAGATGTTTAGTCACAATAGTCCTAGTGCCCCCACCT